CAAACTCTTCTCCTAGATGCAGGGACGGGGCAGGGCAGACACCTGTGACTTCTGCACAAGAGCACATTCATCAAGAGGACAGGAGATGGTGCCACGTGACAGTTAAACACATCTTTGTCTGAGCCGAGCTCTGTTTCCCCAAAGGGAAAGAGTCCCAGGCCGGGTGAGACCAAAGCTTGGCCACTATTTCCCACGCGATTCATCTGTAATGAGCTCCCCTGGCTCATTTCTGGATTGACTCCACGCAGCCCCAGGGGATGCACAGGGACACTCTTGGCACATCAACCCAGGAGACCAAAGCCCGACAGAAACTCTCCCAAGAGGCTCTTCCGAGTCACAGTTTAAAGGGGCACCTTCTCCAAAAAGGTACAGCCAGCAGGACCAGAATTGCTCAGCGTGAAGGTGTTAAGTTACCTTGTGTTTTAGCCGGAAAACAGTGACGTGTGAGTAACCTAAGAATCCAGTAAGGCTGACCTAGAACCCAGTACAGCTCGGCTCTGAGAGACACCAAGATTCAGGTCCTTCTTTTTGGGGGGTGGGGGGTAACTCTAGCAATCGTTTTCTTGCCACTGCCATGATCCTTTGCAAGGAAGTCATGGTTCTCTGGGGGGAAAGAACATGGGTGGATCCCAGACTCAAGAAGGTGGCCGGTCTCCCGGGTGGGCGGACACTTCGGTCCCAAAGAAGTCACCGTTCTCATCTGTTCAAACAGTTCACAGAATCAGAGTCTTAATCCCTCCCATGCTGGCTCCCTGGGTCTATTTTATTTGAAATGAAGAGTAAAGGACAGTACACAAGGAGGTCTGGTCAAAAGACACGGTCATTTTTTTTTTTAACTTGCAATCCTCTGTGCATACACATTTGTGTAATGACACCCGAGGCTCGGCCTACCTTGCATATTTTAGACTTTTTTCAACATAGATTCTGTTTCTAGGCATATATTTTGCTTATGAAGATTTAGGCATTTATAAACACCTCTGGGTTTTGTCCTAATTTCTTCCCCTTGCAAATGGGGTTTCCTTTACACCCTCAGTGTTTCTTCCCCTCTGTTTTTCTTTTTTCCTCTCCTAGAAATACTGGCTCCAGGACTACAATTTTGATGCATGAGCACATTTCTGTATTCTTATTCTCCCGGAGGGTTTTTATCCTTCTGGAATGTATAAATCATTTTGAAAGCTTTCTACACTACACCGTGCTTTTGAGATCATCTACTGGTGTGTCCCTTACACAGAAATGGCCTCAGGGTTCAGCCACAGGAGTGCTCAGATTTAGGTGGGAGAAGGGCTGATTTCATGGATGCCTTCATTTCTGGCTGGGCAGACTAAAAAAGGCAACCAGTGGGGAGAGGAGGGGCCATCCGGTGCCAAAATCGTCCTGAAGTTCAGTGACACGCATTCTAACTGCTCCATACTCCCCTGGCTCCGTGGTACTCCCCATGACCTCTCTGCCTTTCCCGAGGAGAGAGCTGCCCTCTCTTGCCACCCGAGGTCTTCTGAGTAAGAACAAAAGACCAAGGAGGAGGAACACTGTGATTCGCTCCCACCTTGCCCTCTGGGGCCACCCTCACCTCCTGGGACAGCAACAGCCCTGCGTGGTCATTTGAGCCATACGTTGCTCTCCAGCAATAGTTTGGGATTGCTCCTACCCTTCAAAGAGAGGTTGCCAAATGGTCTAAGTGGGCAATTACCCTCAATCTGTACCCAGTGCCGAAATATCACTGGAAACAACAAGAGGCAGTAAAACAGGGCTTTGGATGTGGACTATGCTTGGAAAGAATTCTAGGACAAGTCGGGGTGAGCAGAGGTCAGCTGCTGTGAGAAGCGTAGCGGGCCAGCATGGAGGGGATGGACCGCGTGGAGGGTGAACCCCAGTTAGCACAGCCCCTCCTATCCCCTCTCGCTGTGCAACTCAAGCGGGAAAATGGATAGCTCCCCCTAGCAGCGGGGCTTCGCCATTCCCTCACACTCCGCACACCTTTCCCCTAAGCAGATACTAGCACGGAAAGAACGTTGCTTGGACCATTGCCACTGTTCTGCGCTCTCATAGTTCTTCACGTGCACGTGACCATATGCATTTCTTTCCAAGTTTTAAGACGGTCTTAAGATAGCCTTTCATGCTCTGTTCCATCCAATCCCACTGTGTACCACAGGCAAAAAATGTGACTTCTCTTCCCCAGAAGTCAGCCATCTTCTCTAAACCTTTATAATCTATTCAAAGAAAGTAAATTTGCATTTACAGGAAGCACACTTACAACAAACCTGTGGCTGGTCTGGGATGAAAGCAGCACTTTTCAGACCCTCATTTGAAGACACCATGAATTTTTTTTGCCCCTCTTGACTCCATTCAGTTCAGTATTTTCTCCTCTCCCCGACAACAAACATGGGCACGACTTTCCTGGCTCAGATCTCCTGGCACTCATTACAACAGGCTCATCAAGAAGCAGAAAAGGCAGGTTCAATCTGTGGTTCTCACCCAGGACGTACTGGAATTCTTTACTCCCTGTAACCAGGTTTCCCAGCCCAACATTCTCCTGAAACTAACCAATAATCAGCAGTGACCTCTTGGCTCAATCTGATGTCTGCTCTCAGGTCTCCTTGACTTCTAACCCTTTGGGAGCCACACCTTTATGTTCTCAAGTACTTTCAACCAAGGGTCATCATCCTCACTGTAAATAGCAGTGTAAGAAGGCGGTCAGATGCCCCATCATCTCACTGCCCCCGCCCCCACATAACAGCTAACACAGCAGAATATCAGGTAGATCTTCTTTCAGGCTTTTTCTCGCATATATAGTTTATATGCATTCACACATGCATCCAAAGATTTTAATCCTACTATTATTCTTTACACAGTTTTGTCATTTGGTGTAGAACTCACATCCATCCACGGTAACAGAGTCCGACAGCCCTTTCTCCTAGGGAAGGAAGGTTTGAGGTCAGCTGTCCAATCCAGGTGCCACATGTCACATGTGGCTTTTTGGCCCTGAAACACAGCTAGTGAGACTGGGGAATCAAATATTTACTTTTAACTTTTTTTAATTTAAGATTTTTATTTATTTTTGAGAGACAGAGAGACAGAACACAAGCCGGGGAGGGGCAGACAGAGAGGGAGACACAGAATTTGAAGCAGGCTCCAAGCTGTCAGGGCAGAGCTGGACGTGAGGCTCAAACTCATGTACCATGAGATCATGACCTAAGACAAAGTCAGACGCTCAGCCCACTGAGCCCCTAGTTTTAACTGTATATTATAGCTCTACCTCATGCTTTCTAAAAAGCTGCCTAGAGTCATACGGTCACTCTGGAATCTACCTTTCTAGTTGATCTTCGGAATTCTTTTGTGGCACACCCATTTCTAACTTTTTTAAATGTTTATTTTTGAGAGAGAGAGAGAGGGAGAGAACGTGAGCAGGGGGAAGGATAGGGGGAGGGCAGAGAGAAGGGGGGAGAGAATCCCAAGCATGGGGGGCTTGATCTCACCAACCATGAGACCATGACCTGAGCCAAAAATCTAGAGTCCGGTGCTTAACTGACTGAGCCACACAGGCACCCCACCCATTTCTACTTTAAACATTTGCCTCCTTATTTTCCATGATGGAGCACTTTTCAGAAAACTTGCAACATTTTCTAGATTGTGTCTCCTCGATTCCTAATGGAAGTTTCCTCAATGTGCCCTAACTCTGCTGCCTGCTGCCAACTGCCGTGAACTCAGTCTTCAAGTACAATGGCTCAGACCACCATTTGATATACAGTGGCTGTCCCAGAGTCCCTCACCTAACTCCTAGGAAAGACCGCATGTGCTTACAGGGTGGAGAGGCAGGACCAGAGAGGCTGATGCTTCTTCCACTCACTCCCAGCAAGCCTGCCTTCCTCACTCCATCTCCCCTCTCGCACTGTGCTCCCACCCTGTTCTCGCCACTTCCCGATGCCACTAACGCAAGGCTACACACACAGTGGCTCACAGGGAAGGTCTGGGGCTCACGACACAGTTGAGCAATTTACAATCAAATATTATATGCCTTCACCCTTAAAATTCCCTCCGCCAAAAAACAAAAAAATCAGTCATTTCTTTTATCTTCCTTCTGACCCTTCTCTTTTCCAGTAACTTCCCCTTTTCCCTTTAGTTTACTTGCCACTAAACCCTCAAGTCCCTGTTAGCGCTTTCACAAGAAAGCAATCTACCAACGACTTGACAGAACATCTCGGCTGAGCCCAGATGACCTCATCTTCACACCCACTGAAGTGTTCCCGGAGATCCTGTCCCTGAGATTAATTCTGCACCCTATACACTGTTCTAGGTTTTTTCCTAAGTGACAGGTACCCACCAGTGACTCTATCTCAGTAAAAGCCTGACTCCCTGACCCCCATTTTCTTGTTCCGAATGCTTCTCCTTTCCCTGGAAGGTATGCAGGCAAAGCTGGGGCAGCATAGGTTCAGGGCCCCTGCAGCCTATTATTAAAGGAAAAAGCCAGGGCATCTGGGTGGCTCAGTCAGTGGACCATCTGACTTCAGCTCAAGTCATGGTCTCTCGGTTCAGGAGTTCGAACCCTGCATCAGGCTCGCTGTTGTCAGCATAGAGCCTGCTTTCGATCCTCTGTCTCCCCCTCTCTCTCTCTCTCTCTCTGCCCTCCCCCCACTCATTCACACACACTCTCTCTCTCAAAAATAAAACATTAAAGGAGGGAGGAAAAGAAGGAAAAATACCTCCATACTCTATAAAAATAGCATCATGATAATACTTTGAAAAGGTACATGCGGTGGTCTCATCGAATGGTGGGTCCTTGGCCAGAGGTTTAAGGGAAGATCAGACATCATGAACTAAAAAGGGAGATGGGGATAAGCCGGCCCTAAGACCTATGCCAGCACCTTGATCACAGACCAAAATACAGACCACGTGCATGTGTGTGCATGCCTTCCATCCCTTTCTGATCTCCGCTCCAGAGTCCACCGTCAGGATGGAAACTGCTCTGTGCTGACTCCCCACCTTGTTTCCCGACGTTGGATCAAAGAATGCAGAGAAAGAACCTCACAGAAGTGACCGAGTTCCTTTTCCTGGGATTCTCCAGATTCCATGAGCATCAGTCCACTCTGTTCGTGGTTTTTCTCATCCTGTACGTGTTAACCCTGGCAGCCAATGCCATCATCGTGACGGTCATCTGCATCGACCGTCACCTCCACACACCCATGTACTTCTTTCTGAGCACGCTGGCAAGCTCAGAGACTGTGTACACACTAATCACCATTCCACGGATGCTGTCTGGTCTCACAGCCCAGAATCGGTCCATTTCCTTGGCAGGCTGTACCGCCCAGATGTTCTTTTTTGTCGCCTTAGCCAGCAACAACTGCTTTCTGCTCACAGTAATGGGCTATGACCGCTATGTGGCCATCTGCAACCCCCTGAGGTACACAGTCATCATGAGCACAAGGGTTTGTGTCCAGCTCATGTGTGGAGCCTTCAGCATCGGCCTGGCCATGGCAGCCGTCCAAGTGACATCCATATTTACCTTGCCCTTCTGTCACAGAGTGGTTGGACATTTCTTCTGTGACATCCTCCCTGTCCTAAAGCTCTCATGTATTGACACCACTATCAATGAGATCATCAATTTTGTTGTCAGTTCACTTGTGATCCTGATCCCTGTGGGCCTGGTCTTCATCTCCTATGTCCTCATCATCTCCGCCATCCTCAAGATCTCCTCCGTCCAGGGTCGGAAGAAGGCCTTTGCCACATGTGCCTCCCACCTCACAGTCGTCATCGTCCACTACGGCTGTGCTTCCATCGCCTACCTCAAGCCCAAGTCTGAGGATTCTGCAGAACAAGACCTTCTCCTCTCGGTGACTTACACCATCATCACTCCTTTGCTGAACCCTGTTGTTTACAGTCTGAGGAACAAGGAGGTCAAGGACGCTCTACGCCGAGTTGTGGGCAAAAACATTTAATATGTTGACCCCGTCGCTTTGAGACCTCTATCCCTAAGCAGCACATGTCTTCACTGCCTCCAACCTTATAAGTCCATTGTGTGCAGTCCGTTCTGGAATGGGATGTGCCCATCTCCCTTCAGCACCCCTACCATATAATCTTTTTGTTTCCATATATGCCAGAGTTCTGTCCAGGTGTTTTCATCTAGGTAGTTGAAAGGTCAGAGGGGATGGGCCTGATTTTTCAGAAAGTGTATCTGCATTTCTAGAGTGGGGCAGAGAAGGTCTTAAAAGCACATTAAATGTGGTTCTTTGAGGTTTGAAAAGGAAAACTTCTAGAACTTTTGTAATATCACTTACAGAAAATGAAATTGGACAAAATCTCAACAAAGGAAGAATAGTCAATAGTGAAATTATATCAGAACCTTTGGGATAGGGGAGATGTGTGTTTAAAAACAAAAAAAGATTAAGAAATTTGGAAGATACCAGTTTTGTTCTTGAAAGCATAGCCTCTATTATTTGACTGACACTAACGGTTGCTCCTAGCCCATGTGGCCCCCAGAGGACTGGCCATGGCTGTGAGCCGCACCGGCCTCATGGTGCATTTGACTGCATCCGTCAGTCTCTCTGGCTGCCCGTTCTCTCCAGGAGCCAGCTTCCCTCTCATTGTTCTGAAGGGAAAGAAGTTGGCCAAAAGGAGCTGTGCTCTCTTTGGAATAAGAGCCATGAAAGTATGATTGGCACACACATCAGGGCACTTCTTGGGTAATACCACTTCTATTAAATGTCTGATTCATGGTTTCATGAGTTCAAGTCCCACATCAGGCTCTGTACTGATAATGCAGAGCCTACTGAAGTCTCTCTCCCTGCCCACCTCCCCCCCCGTCCCTCCCCTGCTCATGCAGTCTCTGTCTCCCTTAAAACAAATAAACTTAAAAAAATTCGTTTAAAAAGGTAGAAACCTCTAGTTATAAGTAGGATCTGGAGATGAACACAAGGACTGTAGGTAACAACACTATACTGTGTATCTGAAACTTGCTAAGAGTTGATCTTAAAAGTTCTCACAGAGAAGGGGCCCCTGGATGGCTTAGTCAGTTAAGCATCCAGCTTCAGCTCAGGCCATGATCTAATGGTTCGTGAGTTCACGAACTCCATATCAGGTTCCACACTGGCAGTGCAGAGCTTGGAGCCTGCTTCAGATCCTCTGTCCACCTCCCGCCTCTGCCTCTCTCCCACTCACTCACTTTCAAAATAAATAAACCTAAAAAGTAAAAAAGTAAAGAAAGAAAAGTGTTCAAGGATAAAATGATGTGTAACTATGTGTGGTGATGGAGATTATTATGGTAATCATTTCACTATATGTATACAGTGCTTTCATATACACACAGTATACACACACACATTATTTGTATACCTTAAACTTATATGATGTCCAATATCAATCCTATCTATAGAAAAATAATGGTGACCTATCCTAATACTCTTGACAGAATTAGAAATCCAACATGAAGAAAGAAAAGAAAAATGGAAGAAGAAAAGAGAAAAAAGAAAAAAGAAGAACAAGTCCCTCTGTAATTGTAGATCTTGAGTTCTACTGGAACAAGAGCTCAGGCCCCTTTGTTACCGGGACCAGATCCCTCAGTTTCTCACCACCTGATCTCCCAGACCCTATGTATCCTGCCTCAAAAGGTATCCAGGGTGGAGAAAGCTGACCCAGAAATACCAAGCATCAGCAACACCAGGCTCAGCTATGGGAGGCAACTCACTCTGGGTTGAAGGAGTGGAGGGAAGGAGGCAGAGGTCACTAAGGGCTAAGTGGCCTATGCTGTGTGGATTGTTATAGAAACTCCTCTCTGAGGGAAATAGCAATTCCAAACCCAGGAAAGCAGTGCTGCTTACGGCAGAAGCAGCTACCATTTACTTGGGGGTATACTCCACAGCAGGCTCCATGCTGTTAATCATCTCCATTATTTCATTTAAGACCATACCTCACAGCTTTATGGTTCTTTGCACTTTATAACAATCTCCAAATACCTTCTTTGATCCTTACAATACCCTTAGGAAGCAGGAGTCGCTGTGCCCACTTTTTAGGTTCGTGGAAGAAGTATCCACAGACTGGCTTCCAGCCATGCAGTTGGTAAGGAACAGGGCTGATCCCATGATCAGCTGGCCAACTTCAACGTACGTCTTTTTCTCTGTGTCACTGCCATTTCCGATCTTTAATTTTTCTGAAAGACCTTAGATTATCCTGAGAGGTGGTATATTCATGGAGTCCCTCTGGGCTCATCCTGGACATCACTTCCACCACAAGTCTTCCCTAAACAACTTTGGAGATGTTCCCCAGTGAGCCCCCATGCCACTCAATGCAAGACCAGCCATTATTTTCCCATGGAAAGCAAGGCCCACCTCATCTGGTCATTGCAAAGCAAGCCTGCCTCCTATAGACCTTCTGGTTCATTCTGCCTCCTAGCACAGCTCCCTCCCATAGCCCTGCACATCCTCCCCCAGACCTGAGTGGGACTGATCGACCACTGCCAATCTCCTCTAACATCAGGGATCATGAGTTTGGCCACCTTGTACCATCTGCAGTGGGGGATCCCTGTTTTCCCAACAGTAATTAGGTGGCCAGACATGATAGAGCATGACAAAAAAATACAAGTGTCTTATGATCAAACGGACTCCACTGAGTGACTCCACTGAGTGGCCAAAGCTGGAGGTCACTTGGCGGGCCCCATGTGAGGGCAGCAGGAGCACCCAGGTCTTCTACAGGTAGGGCCTCAGAGGGAGAGGACTCTGCATTCCCATGTCCAGAAGGTTCTATGGGGTTCCTCAAAGAGCTCCTGCATATGCCAGAGCTGGCATTCAGGGGTCTACTACACCCCAAAATCCATCAGTGGCAGCCAAAGGAACCATGAAAACCACTCATAGGGCATGCCACCAAGGCTGTCAACAGAATTCATAGCCACTGGTCTCTCTCTCCTTACTCACCCCGATGCCTCAAAGAGCTAAATCCTGAAGCGGTGGAGAAATTTCAGAACCAGGCTGGCAATTCCCCCAACCACAATTTCCAAGGTTACTAAAGTAGAAGAGAAAGCTACTGAAAATCGTAGACCCTGCCTTTTCTAACCCTCGAGCCCCAACACGAACAGCTGGAGGAAGAGACCAATGAAAAGAACAAACCATTGACCCTACTGATCTTTCTACCTTCCAAACTACATGCCTGCCCATGGACAGGGCTGGCAGACTGAGGAGAGGGGAACTCAACTTTTAATAATTGAAAGAGGAGGAAACACAGACTCTGTCCAAAATAGCATTAAAAGACAGGAAACAGAAATTCTACAGAGCCTGGTTGGAAATAGAAGTTGGAGAGAGGGGAAAAAAAAATCAAACTGTTTATACCCATCCAACTGTGCTCAAAGTGATCAATAAACTGATTACACATAAATAGAATTTTGTGAAATTGTTTAGCTCTCAATGGAATCCATCTAGTAACAGGATTCTGTTCAACCTTCAGAAGTGAGAACTTTGTACACATTTTCAAAACTGTATTATTCAGGTATGCAGGGGACTGTACCTGCCATTTTACGGGAGCTCAATAAGCCTTTGTTGAAGGAGAACAAATGTGTGGATGAGGTTGGCTTTGGCTGCAAAGAACAGAGGTGAGCTCTGAAATGAGGCCAGGGTCTTAACTGGCCACAGACAAAGCTTTGCCTCTGGCCGCAAGACTTCCTTGTTCTTCCTTGCTCTCACTTAGGTAAGACAAGACTTCCCTGACCAAGTCTGTAAGAAAGAGCGGGCAGAGAGAACATACTAAATTTCTCTGCTTATTCAGACATATTCCTTCTCAGGCACCTGCATGATCGGGAGAATAAGCCACTGAACTAGGCTTCCTGAGGCCCTCCCCGCCCCAGCCCTCCTGGAGACACACACCTTCCACCCTCAGACCCTCAATGAGGCTGCTCCCATGGGGCTCTTTAAAGACTTGACAAGTGTGTAGTTTGAGATCCTCCTATGTGGTTAATTAACATTCATAATAGGAAACAAACCTGACTACTCCATCTCATCTGTAGGCATCACAGGGACAGTCCTTCTATAGCTGAAGCAGCTAGTTTCCACCAAGAGGCCTCAGACCAGAGACAGTAGAAACTTGAGATGGCTCCAAGCGACTTCGTGACAAGGCTTCATCTGGAGAGCTGTGCTCTCACTGGTTTAGAGGTAAGTTTGCCCTCTTTGATCCTGGATCTATAATCTTACCTTCCCTGGCCTTCTTCCCGTAGGAAAGAGAAAAGGCACGGAGAAGGAAAAAAACCAGATGACCAAATAAGATGGTATGAAATTTGATTAGATATCACATATTTAAATATTCAGTCCTCTGTTTTCCATACTAGGATTGATCTATAAAGAATGAAAACCTTTCTTTTTTTTAATGACTTGGGCTCGGTTTCAAGAGGCTACTGGAGTTCTTCCCAGCAGAATAAAAAAGGGTAAAGTGGAGCATTCCAAAGATGGGTATCCAGAATAAGAGAGACTCTGGAGGTGAACGACTGTCCACAAAGTGATGGCCAGGCTGGCCCAGAGGAGGAGCACAGAGGGGGTGGAGCATCGCTGGGGCACCCAGGTGCCCAAAGACCCCCTACGAGTCACCTGCGGGGTCACCCACCACAAGAACGAGAAATGCAGGTGGCCCACAGTGGGTTCATGTCAAGTGATGTTCTGGTCTTCACCCACACAGAAACTTCGGTTCACCTGCACCTGCTGACCAGAGACAAGACCTAGTTCATGCTTTTCAACTGTGGCAAAATATTCCATATTCATTTAATCTGTCCCCTGGCAATGGATGTGGAGTTTGGCGTTAATTTTATTACCAACAATGCTGCAGTGATAAACACTGAGCTGCCCCACACATGTGCAAGTATAAAGCAAAGTAGATAAATCTAAACACACAGCTTGGTGGAAATATAGATGATAATTCCATAACCTGAAAAATTATGCACAGAGAGCCAACAAATGTCTAAGAATAC